CTCCACAGTGTAAGACCTCCTCAAACAATAAGAAAAATACAGGAGTTAATTTGAAAGATGCTCTCTCCAATATGTCCCATGCTTGTCTGTGTCTTTTCATGAGTTCTCTATAAAGCATCTTCTTAAAGTTCTGGAAATTATATTCTAGTGTTTTTTTTTTAGTATCTCAGGTGTCCTACCATGACATTTGAACTGTGCATCTAATCTAATCTCTCATTTTTATTACATGATGATGATAATGCTAACATTTATATAGTGCTATGGTTGCAAAGCACTATATACGTGTGTGTATGTGTGTATATATGTACATATACACATACATATATACATACATATATATGTGTGTGTACACATGCACACACACACACACACACACACACACACACACACACACACATATATATATGTGTGTGTGTCATTTGATCACATACTCAGTCTAACACCTTCTCCACAGTGTTGTTCTTGTTTTTTTTATTCTCCTTGGACATAAATGAAGTGCAAGATGGTACCCAACACACTCATGTTAACAGTGTAGCTTGAACAGGGTGTCTGCTGTGGCCCTCGTACCAGCAGCTCTCTCTCTCCAGACTGGCTTACTCACCCCAATCTGCCCTTGCAAGTCAGGGACTTCTTCTTGGAGGCGGGGGGAGTGACCGGTGATATCTATGCAGCTACAACTCAAGTCTTTCAGGTTCCATTCCTACCGCTTGCATCTCTGAACCCCCACTGGTGTTTTCCCAATTAAACAAAATGAGTTGCAATAATTTCACTGGCTCTTAAAAGTTATATTTAGAAATATTTGCTAAAAGAGAAGACAAAAGCAATAATAATTAAAACATTTACATAGAAAGCAAAAGCAGGGAAAATAAAAATACATCAATCCATCCATAAAACTGGGTCACACTCTCCAAAGCATGCACACAGTGTCTGTGGGGGAGAATGGAAACGCACGGAAACCTAGAAAAGGGACATACGAATGGGGAAACCCATGCACCAATGGAAATAGATCACAGCTCTTCCATACCTTCCCGTATTTTCTAAAGTGAGATTCGGCAAACTATAGCCCAAGAGTCAAGTCCAACCTATCCTCTGTTTTTGTACTGCTTGAGAACAAAGAATGGTTCAATTTGGGCTCTGTACTGGGTTTCTTCCACACCACTGATGAATACCTTTGGAAAGCCCATTTGCGCCCTGCCCGCTTTAATGCTTGATACAATAATTAGAGGGTCATTGGATAAGTTAATCTCTGTTACTTTTTCAAAACAGTCAGGTGGCACAGTAGATAGCACTGGACTTGGTGTCAAGAAGGCCTGAGTTCATATCCTGCTTCAGATATTCCTGAGCCTCTCTCAGACTCAGTTTCCTCATCTGTAAAATGGGGATAATAATAGCACCATTGTTGTGAGGATCAAATGAGATAATACATAAATTGCTTTCTAAACTCTAAAGTGCTGTATAAATGCTAGTTATTATTATTATTATATTGCAATGAATCTTGTATAATTTTAACATATGCATAGGAAACACCTTTCTGGATCTGTGAACTTGCTTTTTAAAGGACATTCTGGCAAATCTATTGCAACATAAATGCTTTTCTTTGTAACACTATGCTATGCATTCATGATATTATTTGGAGAAAAGGACCACCAACTTCAACAAACTGCCAAAGGGGTCTAGGACACACACAAAATAGTTAAGAACCTCTGTCCTAAGGTGACATTAATTGATGATGCTAATTAAAAAAAATAAATGGTCAACAAAAATAAATACAATGAAAATTTTTTATTCTCTACATCTTTCAGTCAATTGCATCACTGTGAAGATAAGACATATTGTGAAATGTCATTTGAAAAAGCCTACCTATTCCTGTCTAGTACCTCATTCAGGATGTCTTAGATGTAGATTACTTTGTATAGATGGGAAAGTAGTCTTATTGGACAGTAGTTTTCAATGTTCTTATAGTCCAGGTATAAAGGAGGCCAACCACGAAATGGTCCTCACTACAGGAGATGGGCTACCTATGTGATAAGAGCAAGGGATAACTAGCAGGTCTTTTGGTCCAGCTCAGTAATATTCCATTACATTCATGTCCCTGCATGGTTGATACCTAAACCTTAATGATAAACAACCTTTGAATGTGGTGTCTACTATGTGCAAGCCCCTATGCTAAGTAATGTTTGCATGTATTTCTAAAGAGAACTCTTTCTATGGAAAATCAGATTTTCATGAATGAGGTTAAAAAGTAATAATTAATTTTTTTAAGCACACCGAAATTGAAACATTACATAAAGACCGTTAAGTTATATGTACTATATATGTACTATATATATATATAACACCTACAGAAATGACTACAAATTGTATCGAGTAATTTGTATTGCTTTGAAGATCTATATTTTTCTTCCATAGCTGTCACAGCATATGCAAAGTCTGCATATTTTAGTGTTCAAAACATGTTTGGGGTGCAGTTTTTTCTTTTTTTCTTTAAAAAAATCCTTAAGTTATTTTTAATTCCCCCATCATCATTACCAATAGCCATACAGAAAATACATCCCATCTCCCAAATGACTTGAAAGAAGGATGAAGAACTCACATGAAATTGTAGTTATTCTGACGAACTAATTTAGCCAAATGCGGAATGATTCAACTTGCGACAAGCAGCAAAGAAATGCTTCGCTGAAAAGTGAATTTAATTTCTGCAGCCTGAAATGCAGCAAGTCACAGAGACTGAGAAGTTGCAGGGCAACAGGGTCAGTGAGGGGCAGGAAAGCCAATGGCATGTATGGTGGCAAACATTTTGGCTTCACTTGTAAGCTTGGCCTGACCTTGATTTGCGTGGCATAAAGACATTAATTCTCAATAGCCTCAAAAGCAAGAAGAAAACGATACTTTCAGGGGAGCAGGAGGCCTGCTAACACACCAGCCCCATATTAGGGGCAGATAAAAGCAACCTTACTTACCAATTGTGATGCAGTTAACAAAGCCACACTCCAACACACACACACACACACACACACACACACACACACACACACGCGCGCGCGCACGCAAGTGTTCAGGAGACAAATGTGAAACCATATGATTTTTTTTCCTGTTATGTTAAAAATGCATCTCCCCCCCCCCCGCCTCAAGCCCAGTCCGATTAAAGAGGGCACATCTGTTTTAAGTCCCTCTTTTATGAAAATTACTGAGCTTCCTCGGCATGCTTATCTTTTAATTTCAAAATTCTTTATAGCAATAACTTGAGATAATAACCAACCATATTTCTGTCCCCTTCAGAAAAAGAGAGAGAAGAAGAAGGAGAAGAAGAAAAAGAAAGAACCATTTTGAGCTTTGAACTCCCTTTTCTAATCCCCTTCCCCCCCCCCTTTGGGCCTAGTTTGAAAGGGCCCCCTCATTTGCGTTTAAAATGGATGTTTCATACCGGTTGATTAGTGTTAGTATGGGATACCAGCCGCTCGGAGCCTAAGGCTCAGCTTGAGATTCTAGGATTATTCATCAATTTCCCGGCAGGGGGGAACCACTTCGCACTTTCACTGCTCAGCACCAAAGGGCTCAGCTTTCCTTTTTAAGCATTTTCTTTCTTTCCTCCCCTCCCCCTCTTCACAAAGTTTTCACCCCTTCCCTCCCCCTCAAGGGGGTTACTTGAATGTACATGACACCAGATCACTTTTTAATACCCACATCTTTCCCCCTACCCTTCTGTTTTGAATGGCACATAATAGCTGGGGTCTTATTTAGCATTTGTGTCTCTGCTTTAAACTGTTGTCTAAGGGTGAAGTTATCTGGAGGTATCATCAGGGATTTGGAAAAGGGAAAACTTCATATTCTTATGCCACACTTCTCTGCTCCCTCCTCAGGGCGCCTTTCCCTTTCTTCCCCAAGCATTTATTAACTAGAGAAACACATAAAAGGAATCTACTAGGTAGGAACCTACTACCTACTAGGAAAATCAGTGCCAAAGCAATACAGTTAGCTGCAGCCTATGCGATTAGAACAGAGAGTGGAAAAACACTGAGCTTTGAGTCTGGTCCCTTGCTCTGTTACTGGCTAGGGGAGCGATCCTTTAAGATCCTTTAAGCAAGATGGGTAATTAATTTCTCAATTTCCGCTCATCTGAAAAGGTAGATGATGACATTTTCAAAATGCTGTAAAGTCACTGAAATTCAGAGATTGCTCAGGACCCAATATTTTTTTCACTTGTGTTTTATGTTCTAGGAGTGCATAGTACCTGATACACAGTAGGCACTTAATAAATGTTTATTGACTGACTGAAAATTGAAATAGGCAAACATGGAATAAATGATAACTTCTTGTCCAGTCAAAACTTTACAAAGATACAAAGGATTTACTCAGTGCTTCATTTGAAGCCCCTGAGTCAATCAAATCAACCAGTCAGTCATTAAGTGTTTATTAAGCACTTACTATGTGCTAAGATGGATAGCTAATACCTCAATTTCTACTCACCTAAAAAAGGGGGCTCACTGACATTTTCAAAATGCTGTAAAGTCAGTGAAAGACAAAGATTGATGAAGACCCAACATCTTTTCACTTGTGTTTTGTATTTTAGGGGTACACAGTACTGAAAAGTTGAAATAGATCTAGCTAAATCTTTACAAATCTTTAAATCTAGAAAGAATTTAGTTTATTGCTTCGTTTGAAGCTCTCGGTCACTCAAATCAGTTGGTCAGTCAGTCAATAAATAAAAGCACTTAGTAGGCGCCAAACTTAGGATAACGCCTGGCATGTGGGAAGTGTTTAATAAATTCTAGTCATTTGGCAGGCTGAGGATAAAGACAAAAACAGTCCCTGCCCTCATAGGGCTTATACATTCTAAAAGGGAAGACAAACATTAAAATAAAAAATCCAATAAAATAACAAGCAATAAAATACACACATGATAGCTACAAATGAGATGGACAGTAATCTCAGAGGGAAAGCATTATTTCTATTTCATTATTTTAGGCTTCAAGTTGTCTACTTTTCTAATAAATACTCACATCAGAGGATTCCCATTAGCAGCTACATCTCTGGGTTGCTGTGAACACAAAATGAGATAATATGTACAAAGTGCTTTGTAAACCTTAGAATACTTTATAAATGTTACTTATTATCGCTAGCTAGCTACTATCAGGGTAACTCCTCATTCACTATTCAGGAGTCCATAATATAATACACAGACTATTTCATCTATTGTTTCCCTCCATTTTTTCCCTGCTGCTTTCTGCTAAAGTGACTGAGTTTGCAACCTCAGTGGGGATACATAGTATCAAAATTTAACATAAGTCTACTAAGAGTTATAAATGCTCACAGTCATTTTTAATGGGACAGGACAATAAAACTGATGGCAAAAATGGCATCTACCTGTGAATTTCACCAGCACAAATTTTCTCTGTTGGGCGTTAGTTACTACAGGAAAAAGAGGGAAGAGGGAAAGAGATTCAACTCCAGGTCTACCATCTTGTAATCCTCCTGACTTCAGGGGAGGAGACACAGAAGGTTTAACAGAGCAGAACGTGGAAATGTGGGTACGAATTCAAAAGGCAGGAGGAGCTAGTAAAGCATGCTAGGGAGAGAGCAGCATAAGCAAAGGACTAAAGGAAAGAACTAAAAGCTCTTATTGGTTAGAAAGCACTCAACAAATACTGGTTGCTCGTCATTTCATGGACTTTTCAGTAAGGTTTTTGGTTCTATCCTCTTATAGGAGCATGGGTTATATTAGGCTTAGGTGGGTACGTACCTGCATGAAGGACGGCCCTCAAATGGTGGTTCTCACTAGGTAATAAGAGTAAATCTGATAAGGGATATAGAACCCAAAATGGTGGAGTAGTAGGAAGAAATATAGCCAAAATGTGGAAATATGTTTGCATGACTTCATATGCATTATAGGTATCATATTTCTTTCCTTCTCAGTAGTTAAGAGAGCAGCTAGAGGGAGGGTAATAATGTGGAATGGAAAATAAAAATAATTTTTTAAAAAAGTATAGCCAAGCTCACACACATACAACTCCTCTGACTCAATCTAGAAAATACATCAGACTGAATCCTAACACAGAAATCCAAGGGGAAAAAATCATGAGTAATTTTTTCAGCCCAGGGCAGCATAGAAAGACAAGCTGAGAGGTCTGTGGACACTGGAAACAGAGTCTGGCCAGAAGCATTCCAAAGACAAGGTCCCATACCCATGCATGCAGGTTGTGGGAATAGATGCCAACAGACGCCACCCAGATGTCATTGTTCACTACCCATTTCCAAGTCACAGATCCAAAGTGGACCGAAGAAGGGACCCGTGCACAGGGGTGGAGTTCCAGGGTTAGGAATGGTTATGGGTCCTTTCCTATGTACCCAAACAAGGAGGAAGATCAGAAGCAAGCCTCAGTGGTTTGGCTCAGACCCCCAAAATCAGAGCAGGGTCTCAATTCCAGTTTCTAGCCCAGTCTGAAGCCTGCAGAGAAACAACTAGGACAGGAATCCCGGACCAAAGGGAAGCCTATGGTTCTGTCACTCTGAACCAGCAGAGCTTTGCAGGTGGCTGATAGGGGCTGAATCCAGCAGCACTCTACTGTAGCTCAGACTGAAAAACAGGTCACGAAATTGCAGTGCTCGGGCTAGGGTAGGAGTGGGGAGCCTGCGGCCCTCGACATCCTCATGTGCGGCCTTATGAATCCAAACTTCTCACTTGTTCTGTGCAGTTTGGATTCAGTTAAAGGGCTGCACTTGTGGCTAGGGGAAGCAGTGATCAGACTTTATCCTGCAGTAGAACACTTTGGGAGCACTGAAAAATTCTTCTCAGTCTCCAGCCTGAGATGTCTCCAAGAGCCTGGAATAACATAACACCCAATATCCTCAAGAAGTCAGCAGAAAGGTCAGCCCAGACCTTCCCTCCAGAAATGCACAGAGCCTGCATCTAAAATGTACAACATCAGAAGTAAGTTGGAAAAATGAGCAAACAAACCCCCCCCAAAAATAAATAAATAACTCTACTATTAAAAGCTACATTGGTCACAGGGACGCTCAAAACACACACTAGAAGCAAAACCTATAAGAAAAAAAGTTGAGGCACAAATTTGAGTAGAATTCCTGGAAGAGATGAGGCAAGAAATTTTTTTTTAAGAATTAGAAAATGTTTTCATAAATAAAATGAGAGCACTAGAAGAAAATAAATGGAAAAGAAATGAAAGGTATGGGGTGGGAGGGGAGTGGGAAAAGAGTCAGAAAGGGAATGAACAGCTTGATACAAAAGGTACAAAACCTTGCCCAAACAACAAACTTCCTAAAAATTGGAATGTACCAAATAGAAACCAATATAGAACTCCATGAGATGACAAGAAACATTCAGGTCTAAAGACAAAAAAAAAAAAAAGGAAGAACCTCATAAAGTATCTCGTAGCTAAAGGAACTGACTTGGAAAATAGATTGAGGAGAAAAAACTGGACAACCTGAAAGCCATAACAAAAAAATGAATAGCATTATATATCAAGAAATCTTAAAACAAAACTCTCGGATCTCTTAGAACTTGAGGGCAAAACAGAAATACAGAGTCTCCTGATTGCCTCTTGAAGAAAACACCAAAATGAAAATCCTCAGGAACAATATGGCCAAAATCTAGAGCTTCCAGGTCAAAGGAAAAAAATACTACACGCAGTCAGGGAGAAAGAACTCAAGGCTTGAGCATGCCCGGTTTGCTTGGCATTGAAATTGCTGCAGCTTCTACACAGCTGGGGGGGGGGGGTAAACCTTTAATTGGCTGCCAGTTTATGTATATCTTGTGTTGTTGTTCTGCCAGCGCAGTCTTGTCCAACTCTTTGTGAGCCCATTTGGGGTTTTCTCGGCAAATGTACTGGAATGGCTTGCCATTTCTTTCTCCAGCTCATTTAACAGATGAGAAAATGGAGATAAACAGGGTTAAATGACTGGCCCAGGGTCATAGAGCTAGTAAGTGTCTGAGGCTGGATTTGAACTCCAGGCTTGGAGCACTCTCCACTGCACCACCTAGCTGCCAAGGCTAATACTTGGCAGAACACGTGTCAGTCTGCACGAGTAGAAGGAGCTTCCTGTTCTTACATGAATGAAATCACAGGGGTCCAGCTCTGTCCTTAACCTCAGTGCCATTATTCGATACAGACACTGAAAAGAGACCAGGTTGGTGACTCCCTGCACACTTCATGAGCCGCACAATTCACAGCTACACAAACACCCAAACGCACGCGTGCCTCTCAAAAGTGGACTTTTGTTTTTAACTCTTCTCACTAGCTTGAAGTGATATTTCTGAAACATTACTTTGCATGTCTTCGCTTATTATTTTCAACGTTTTTCGAGTGATTGTTAAAACTCTCTGTTTCTCCCTTTGGGAATTATCCCTTCGTACCTTTTGATCATTCATCCACTGGAGAATGGATTTTACTCTTGTATATTTGTATCCGTTTCTTTTTTAGATTCTGGATGTCAGCATTTTATCAGAAATATTTACTTGTGGTAGGACGACTATTTACTAGGATCCTTGGCTATGTCAGCTGTTTTCTTCAAAAGGCACTGAAACTGTCCTAGAGATTTGTTTGGCTCAGGGGCTGGGGGATCAGGTTATTGACATAGCTTCTTGGTCACTTAAGTAGAAAAATAGATAGAGCCAAGACTTCTGACCAAAGACAATCCTGGACAATACAGAAGTGGGAGAGCTGTGCTCAGATGAAAAAAGGCCATATCTTTATAGAGTATCCTTTACGTGCTACTCATGTCTTTTACTCCTGCTATGACTAATTCAACCTCTTTTTATTAACTGTTAGATGGACAATGAGCATCTCATTTCATTTCACCCTTGAACCTGAAGTACCAACCTAGACTGAGGCAGGTCTGGCTTTGTACATATATAGCAAAGCTTTGGACTGACTTCTAGATCGAGGCCAGATATACCACCCTCTCAGGATTCTAGGGGTACTTTTGCAGGTTCAGAGTGCTTTTCACTAGTGTCATTGGCTGAAGCCTCCATTCTGACGTGCCCGCTCAGCTATTTCTCAGAAGGAAATAGCACGCTGGTTCTACTGAACTGATTACCATCAATAAGCTTTTGCAAAGTAATATTTACCGAGAAGAGGTAGTGAGAATAGAAGTGCAAATATTTCCCCCAACACTGAGGGCACTGTCTCCCTTATACAACCTCACCGTAGCTAGAATGAGTCTTTGTCCCGCTACCAATGGGCTGTATGCCCCAGGTCATACCACAGAGCTTCGAGCTTGACTGACTGGTGGCAAAACCCAGGAAAACCTACTCCCAGATCTCTTCATGGTTTACTCTCCTGACCTTCAGAAGTTTACAAGGTTGCAGCCACATCAGGAAAGAATACACTCAACAGAAACAAAAGCAGTAGCGGTGTGTTCTCACCTTCAGGGCATCACCATGTGAGAGAAGGACCCAGGCCCCTCTCCCACCTGGAGGCCCCCAGCAATTCAACCTACTTTTCCAACGCCAACCAGTTTGGGCAGAACCAAGGCCTAGCACCAAATGCAGTCTAGTTCTAGCGACACAGTCAACCAATATAGTCTATTTTCTCGTGGGTAGAAGGCTGGTATCTCCAATAGCTCCCTACTGCCTCCAGGATGAAATATAAAATCCTCTTTGGCTTTTAAAGCTCTTCATAAACAGATGCCTTCCTACCTTTCTCTTCCTCATAGATTTTACTCTTTTTCATATAATCAACCATCCAGTGACACTGGTCTTCTTGCACAAGGGACTCCATCTGGAAATTTTGTGTTTATACTGTGGGTCTCCCATGCCAGCCATGCCTTCTTTCCTTGTATCTGTCCCCTGGTTTCCCTGGCTTCTTCAGGTCTCAGCTAAGACCCCATTCTAAGGCTTCTATGAGAAGCCTTTTCCATTCTCCTTAATGTTAGTGCTTTCCCTTAGAGACCATCTCCAATTTATCCCGTAGACATTGTGTTTCTACATAGTTATTTGCATGCTGTCCCCCCCACTAGATTGTGAACTCCTCCAGGGGAAGGATTATTTTTGCCTTTGTATCCCCAGTGCTTAGCAGAATGCCT